AAATTTTGTGAGTGTGACTTACTGAACTAACCTTTCTCCAAAGCATCTTGAAAAACATTCAGAATGTAGATTGAGGAATTTTAACTCTCGTGTTTGGAAGAGTAGCATCCCAAACGTACCTTTATTTAGTAATTATTCATTGAACATTCATTCATTCAGCATATGTATCAAGTGCCTGCTGCACAGCAGAAGCACTGTACCAGGTGCTGGGAGTAGGACAGAGAGTGGAACAGCACCCTTGTCTTCAGAGGAAGTGCTACTGAGAGAGGAGGATTGGGGGACAGTAGGGGCTGGGCAGAGGGAGGGGCTGCTATTTTATTTGGGGTGATCAGCTAAGCCTCTGTGACGAGGTGGCATTTGAGCTGAGACTCGGACAACGTGGGGAAAGTGAGGGGACGAGCCATGTGGGTATCTGGGGAAGAGTGTGTTCATGGCAGAAGGAACAGCGAGGGTATCTGTGGCCTGCAGCAGGCAAGGTCAAAGAAGCATAGGGCGGCGACAGATCACAGAACCCCTCATAGGTCATTTTAAAGGCTTTGACTCCTAAGGAGATAGGGAACCATTGGGGCGGTGGGGGGGTGAGGGCTGCGGGAGAAGAGACGTGATGCCAGACCTGGCCTTTTAAAAGAGCACTAGCTGCTGTGGGTGAGCGCAGGGGAGCAGGGGAGGGGGCAGCAAGGAGGGCCGACAGGAGGCCATTGTGGTAAATCGGACAATAGTTTCTGGTGGCTTGGACACTTGGCAGCAGAGCAGAGATGTGCTCTGAAATTACATTGAAGGCAGAGCTTAAGGGATTTATTTGCTGGTCGACATACAGTGTGGGAGAGAGACTGGAATTGAGGACGACTCCAGTGGTTTTAATAAGCGGGGAGCTGACTGGAGGAGCAGATCTGAGAGGGGGAAAACAGGAATTTGGTTTGATCTCCTCAAGTCCGAGATGCTTCTGACACACGCAGAGATGTTGAGATGGTTGGATGTGGGGGACAGGTACAGGCTGGAGACACAGATACAGGAGCCATCAGTACATGGACGTTATTTAAACTATGAGACTGAAGATCACCTAGGAAGCAAATGCAGATGAAGAACTGGTCCAAAGACCAAGCTCTGGGACATTCTCAAGACACAGAGGGCAGGAGAATGAAGACGAACCAGCAAAAGTCTTAGTAGGAGCTGCAGGAGCAGAACCAAGAGAGGAGTTAGAGAAGTCAAATGGAAATGCACTTCAAGAAGGGAGCTGTCCATTGCCCGATGCCGCAGAGGAGGGGAGAAGAGGGGCGCCCGCTATGTGCAGGCACTGGGCATACAGAGACGAGCCGGGATGCCAGGCACAGAGTCGTGCTCACTCATTGTTCTGGAATGAAGATAATCCTTGCTTAGAACAACTCCTCGTTGAGGGTAGGAGCCAGCGTGTGGGAAGCCACCTAACCGGCCAGGAATCTTGTCTGGGGAGGCGAGGCTTCTGCAGCTGAGTCTTCAACGCTGGGGAGAACTCAGGTGGATTTCTGTGTGCGGTTCCCTCTGTTCTGGATTTTCAGTTCCCTTCTCTCTGGGCTCCCTCGGAAGCAGTCACTCTTGAGAGGTTGAGAAGGAAACAGGAAGCAGGTGACTGCTCCATCGGACCAGAGAACCATGGAGCAAGAAAAGACCCAGGAGAAAGAGGAATGGGACAGATACTTTTTAAAAAAGATTTTATTTACTTATTTTTATAAAGATAGGCGAAGGGAGGGAGAGAAACATCACTGTGTGGTTGCCTCTCATATACCCCCCTACTGGGGACCTGACCCGCAACCCAGGCATGTGCCCCGACTGGGAATTGAACTGATGACCCTTTGCTTTACAGTCCGGTGCTCAATTCACCACCCCAGCCAGGGCAGGATAGGTACTTTTAAACACTGTTTAAAATTCACTCCATGTTTAGTAAATTCCATTCCATGGAAAGAACTTGGTTTCCCCAAGGAAAATCTGTTGCAATGCACATATGGCCAGGAGAGGTCTCCCTTTCCCCAAGAGCACTGGTTTAGAGGGCGGGGCCCAGAAGTGATGGCAGGTCAGGGAGCAAATCCGACAAAGAATATACTTAAACTTTTAAGAAGTCAAAGTGTTCCTTGAACAGTAAGATCGATTATCAGTTTAGAAAATGAAAGACCACAGAGTAATGTTGAGTAAACATATTGGGAAGAGTAAGGAACACTTCAGAGTCTAAGAACTTAATATTTAGAGAGATCGCTTCCCGCTTTGGTGACTACTTTATTAAGCATGGTAGTTTGAAAAGTAACTTATGTGAGGATAATATTAATAATAGCTAACATGTATTAGGTGTTTAGTGTTCTAAGTCTTTTTTTTTCTTTCACAATATTAACTCAAGTGATTTTCACCCAGCCATATAAGGTAGATACTGTTATCCTTAACACTAATAATCCTTTGAAAGAGGTACTTTTACAGATGAAAAATTTGTGGCTCAAAGAAATTAACAACTGGTCCAAGGTCACGCAGCTCCTGAGGGGAAGAACTCGGATTTGAACACGAATCTAACTCTATAACTATCCACCCTACATATTAGATAGGAGGAGGGTCTCAAGGTCTGGGCCATTCTTCCTAAATGTTATTTCTTGCTAAATGTTAAAGTGTAGCACAGTATTTTGCAGATGTACTAGTAAACAGGATAAGCTGGCAGGAACTCAAGGGGATAAAAGTAGCCAACTGACCCCACAAAAGAAAGAAATCAACATGAAATTGGCCAAATAGTGTATCTAAGTGATGGCTAAGCCTCCCTTCCAGGGGGCAGAACTGTGGATATGAATCCCTGCCTTTATGTTCTGCAAGTAAACCAGTCTACCTTGGGACAGCCACGTCATCTCATTTTTGAACAGAGCACCCCAAGTGGTGGAAGCCTGGAGTTTGGTAACAGACACAGCCTATGGTGAGTAAGGGGTTTCATGAATATGTAAATATTGTTAAACAACAGTTTCTTAATTTGACAACATACCATGGTTCTTAACCAGGAGTAAGAATCAGATTCGTCTGAACTTTTAAAAAGAATGCAATGGCCCCAGCCTTACCCCACAGTCTAATTCAGTAGGTTGGGGGTGCTGTGTGTGTGGCGGGGGGGTCTGGAATCTGTTTCTCCTGCTGATTCTTATGTGTACAGGCCCTTGGTAGGGAACCCCTGTAGGGAGCCGTACGGTGAACAGTGGCTAACTGGCTAAATTTGCGTAGGCGAAGAGTTCTCTAGTACACAGCAGCCACCCAGCCTTAGAATAGGATTATGATGATTTGTTTAGTGTTTAACTACAAAGGGTATTGAACTTGGGCAACTCAAACCACTCTAGCTTCCTGTTGAAGATGCCCTTTCTCCTCCGCTTGAGTGCAGAGCTAGGAAGAAATGTGCGATTCTCCGAAGACTTGGGTGGGAAGTGGCAAAAGCAGGACCCTGGGGACAGCGTTGAGGTGTTCTTAGCAGTGAAGTGTGCAAGCAGGCTGTCAGTCAAGCCGGCGGCGGGGTGGTGAGACAAAACCCAGCTGATACAGTCCTTATGCTCCGCACTTCGCTGCCTGTCGGCCTGGCAAACAGCCAGTGAGAGCACAGCGGCCGGGTGTTTGTGCTTGGGGCTGAAACTTGGACACAGAAGGGGCCCTTTAAGGCAGGGGGCTGTGAACGATGAAGGTACCAAGTCTTAGAGACCAGGAATCCGCTGTGAGGAAGGGAGAGAATATTTTCTATCCGTTTCTGAGGCAAACAAAACTTCCGAGATTTTAAGAGCCCCAAGTCCTCCTGCGATTTGGGTGTAAGTTCCAAGTCAGATAAGAGTCTTCTGTTCTCACGGGCCTCCTGGGCTTGCCCCTTCTGTGGTTTCTATCCTCCCCCATCACACACACACACAGCTTCCTGTTCTTGGCGGTTCCTACCTCTCCCAGTGACTCCACGCTCCTGTGAACCCTGGGCTCAGCTGGGATTCCCAGCCCTTAGCCCTGCCACGGCTTCACGTCCTGGAGATTTATTTGTCCCTCTCGCTGGAGTTTGGTGGGAACCTGAGTGCTGGGAATGCACCCGGGGCCCGTCCCTCCTGACCCTGCCCCAAGAGCTTTATGAAGCCTGCGTTTCACAGGCTCTTTGGACAGCAGAGCGCAAGAGAGCTTGGAAATAATTTTTTAAAAAAAATCACGATGCTTCCATGTTTCTGAGAGGAACTCATTCCAACACAAGAAGCAACCCGCGTCTCAGAGTCAGAGGATGGACGGACTCCCAGCCCTCCGGAGGAGGCACTGCCTGCTGTGGGGGGGCACCCGGGCGACCCGCCGGCGCCCGTGCTCAGGGCTCTGCCCAGGGCTTTCTCGGGATTCCCGGGTCGGGGGGGCGGCAGGGGGTTGTTCGTGAGCACTGCACTCGGACTTGCTGTATCCCCAGTCTGTTTCCAGAACCCCACCTTTCTTCTTGAGTTCCCTCTTCTGCTTTCAAAATCATATGTGAAACCAGGCCCCATTCCTTTCTCTTTAGGTCACCAGATTCCTTTTTTGGGGGTTGGCAGTGGCGCCCTAGCCCCAGGACCCAGGAGGGCATGTGAGTGGCGGTGGGGCTGGGATTTGCTCTGTGTGCCAGGGGGATTTTCCGTGTGCCAGGACTGGGTGTTCTGCTAGTCTTCCCTTCCCCTCCCCTCCCCCTCGTCCTGCCCCCTGCCTTCCCGCAGACTCCAGAAGCCCCGAGGGTAGAAGGGAGCTCTTACCCAGGGGAGAACAGCCTCCAGCTTGCCCCAGCTGCCTACACGTCGTTCTCAGCTTCCCTTCCTCATCCCTCCAGCCACTCCCAGGGTCTGAAGCTCCAGCCCCACCCGAAACACCCCTCCCGCTTTGAAGGAGGCTGGGCTGGCCCAGGGGGTTATTTTGGGAGCCGCTTCTGAGATCCAATGGCCTTGTTAGGGCAACACTGACCTTTCTGTCCGGGGAGGAGGGCAGGACTGGAGAGGGGCGGGGCAGCAGCGGGAGATCGACAGTCCCGCACACCCTCAGGGTGGAGGAGAAGGGGGCCAGCCGGCTGCAGGAATTCAGCCTGGGGGGCTGGGACTGTCACCGAGGGGAATTTCCCCTCTTTGAGCCGGACTGGGGATCCCTCCACCTATCCTTTCACTGTGCTTCTTAAAGGAATCACAGTCTTTTTCCTCTTGGCTCCATGGAAGCCAGACTCGGGACATTCGGTGGAGGCTCTGAAACTTTCCTCCCCACTTCCTAGCTGGCAGCCTCGTCTGGCTGGCCGAGTGGGGGCCTCCCAGGCATGGCACTGACCAGCCGACTCAGTGCTGACTTGGCTCCCGGGCTCGCTCGGCCTCTGGTGGCACCTTGCTTTCCGCCTGCTGGGGTGCGGTGGTGGTGAGTGGGGGGCCCAGCCCTGAGCGAGCTCGGAGAGTGCCACTGGCACCCCCACCGCCCTCTACCCCCAAGCTGGAGGACAGTCAGGTCGTCGGGGGCTATGATGAGATGAGCGGGGGCCGCTTTGACTTTGACGATGGCGGGGCGTACTGCGGGGGCTGGGAGAACGGAAAGGCCCACGGGCACGGGCTGTGCACCGGCCCCAAGGGCCAGGGCGAGTACTCGGGCTCCTGGAACTTCGGCTTTGAAGTGGCGGGCGTCTACACCTGGCCCAGCGGAAACACCTTCGAGGGATACTGGAGCCAGGGCAAACGGCACGGGCTGGGCATAGAGACCAAGGGACGATGGCTCTACAAGGGCGAGTGGACACACGGCTTCAAGGGACGCTACGGAACCCGGCAGAGCAGCAGCAGCGGTGCCAAGTACGAGGGCACCTGGAACAACGGGCTGCAGGACGGCTACGGCACCGAGACCTACGCCGACGGAGGTGAGCCCAGGCTGGGGCTGGCGGAGCCGCGGTAGGGGCCTGGCGGGCGAGGGACGCTGGGGTGGGGCGGAGGAGCCTAGGGTGGTGGGACACAGAACCAGAGGGCCCGGAGGTCATCTGCCGTGTGGCCTCAGGCAAGCTACTCACTCTGCCTCCCTCTGCATCTGTTTTCGTGTTAGGAACGATGGGGCCAGTGCGGGCTACTGGGAGGATTGGCAGGAGTGCTTAGCTCAAGGCCTGCCATATAAAGGCACACTCAACACACATTCATTCACACGTAACTGCTACTGTTTGCATGCTAGGTATGCAGTCCGCTGCGGGATATACACCAGGCTGCACTTTAGAGGAACTGGGGTCTAGGCTCAGCTTTGCCATGGGAATTACCATCAAGGAATAGATCATGAAGTATTCATTCATTCACTCACTCATTCACCCACCCACCCACCCATCCACCCATCCATCCATGCATCCTTTTATTCCATGTGTATATTTCTGTGATGCCTCCCATTTGCCAGGCACCGTGAGAGGGTTAGAGATAAAGAGGAATAAGGTAGAGCCCGGGGCTTCAAAGACAGGCTTGCAGACGAGCCACGGTGCACGGGTAGGTACCGAGTGCTGTGGCGGTAGAGAGAAGGATGCTTTAGATGACGTGACGTCTGAGCTGGATCTGGGTGGGAAAACTGCATTCGGAGGGTAGGCGTGGGAGAGACAGGAGGGAGTGGAAGGTTCAGAAGGACCAGAGGACTCAGTGGGTTCAGGAAACAGAGAACAATTTTTTTTTTCTGTGGCAAAACAGCCTTAGGAAATGGCAGAACAGATATCACCACCTGATCCCCAGGGTGTTACTTTGGAGATGTCACTCATCGGGACCTCAGTTTCCTCGTCCATGAAATGGGAGGTTTACAAATATCCTCACTGCTCAAAATATAGTCAGCGGACAGGCAGCGGCGCCTGTCTCCATGGTCAGAAGCAAAGCCAGGGGTCCGCCCTAGACCTGCGAAATCAGAATCTCTTGAGGGTCGGCCCAGATGTCGGTTTTAAGCTCGTCCAGCACTTTTTATGCACATTAACAGTTAAGAAGTAGTTCTTCAAAGTCAGGGGCTCCCAAACTTTAGATAGTGGGCCACACTGGCCTGCTGCCTGTTTGGGGGCAGCTTGTGAGCCGACAGTGATTTCACATTTTGAAATATTGGGGGGAAAAATGAACACTGTCTTGTGACGCGTGAAAACTCTATGGAAGTCCCTGTATAACATCATCAACTTTATCCGTTGGCCCAAGAGCCTGAGACTTACTGTTCGACTCCACGGGGATGGCGGCTCCCGCTTCAGGTGTTTGTTTCCTTCGGGTTCCTTCCAGCTCGGGGTCACTCTGTGACGTCGTCTCCCTCGCGTGCCCTGTCGGGAAGAGGCACTGACACAGTTAACTCGAAACTATGGCTAACGAAGAAATATACCTACTTGGCACCAGTGGGCATTTGCTGTATATTAAATGCATCGCTAGTCTGCCCGCTTTATAGCAGAGGGCAGGAAGTGGGCCGTCTGGGAGTGGACTGGGGTGGGGCAGGAAGGGCACAGTCAGCCCAGGGTGCAGGCCTCTGCGCAGAGAGAGAGAGCCGTCTCCAGTATAGGATGGGCCCATGGGGCTGCCAGTTGGTGGGTGTCTGGCCAGGGCCTGCCCTCGAAAGTGTCTGGATGTTAACGAGGTTGCGTCCCTGGAGTTTCTGTGTGCACAAAGGTGGTGGCACAGCGCTGGCTGGAACTGGATCCCACTGAGGACCAATTCTGGCGCCGCGCTTCCTAATTTGGTGACCTGAAGCTGTTTGCTGAACCTCTGCCGTTCAGTGCAGTTCAGTTCCCCGGATGCTCATGCCCAGCACTGTGCTGAGTGCTGGGGACGAGCAGGGAGCCAGCCTCCGTTTCTCCGGCTTCAGTGAGATGGAGGTGACCCGAGGGCCGCCAGGCGCCAGTTACCTTTGCAAAGAGGTGCACAGTGCACGTGTGCCAACTACTTCTCCCCGTTCCTCTTCGCCGTCTCCAAACCAAGTCATGTGTGTGTGTGTGTTGGCGCCTGATGTGAGTCACAGGGACACACATTTCCAGGAAGCTCTGGGATGATCTCCCGATACGTTTAAAGGGGGAGAACCCATTCATTCATTCATTCATGTGACCAATGTTTTAGAGCACCAGCGATGTGTCAGGCACCACCCCACACGAGTTCCAGGGGCTGAGGCAGCGTGTAAGCAAAGTCCTCAGGGAGCTCCCTGTCTCGCGAAGAGCACAGAAATAAACTGGAAAACAAACACATATGTAGTTTCCAGAAGTGACAAGTGTTATGAAAACAACAGCAAAGAAGGAAGAGGGTGATGGTTTTGGATAGGGCAGTGCGAGAAGTGGGGTGGAGAACGCCAGAGTGAAGACTTCCTTCCAGGAGGCAGGAATGGCCATGGCAAAGACCCCGAGACCGGACTGGGCATGGCGTGTCTAAGAAATAGCGAGAATGCCATGGTATCGGAACAGACTGGTGGAGTGGAGCTGGCCGGGGTTGGTGCTGGGGGTGTGGGTGGGGGCCAGCCTGGGAAGGCTTTGTGGGGGCCTGGGTTGTATCCTAAGTGTGCCCGGGGAGAAGAAGACCCACTCCTCTGGGTTCCAGAGGCCCGGACTCTCTTCCCGAACGAGAGAGCCCCACATTCGGGCAGCCTGGAAACCTTTCAGACCCTTCCTCGCAAGCCATGCAGGAGGTGCGACTCTCCAAAATTAGATGTGGCCACTGCTTCGGAAAATCTCTTTAATCAACCTGTCATCGGTTCCAGAGGGTTCGTTAAGGACCTGCCCTGTGCCCCATCCTGGGCAGCACGGAGGGGAATGTGGACAAATAAGATCCTGTGATTAGGAACGGCAGGGAGTCAGATGGCCCTGGGTCATGACACGTCCTGGCTCGGTCACATCACTTAATCTCGTGGAGCCTTAGTTTCCTTATCCATAAAATGAATTTATCCTCATCTCTCCTAAGATTTCCCATGGGACCTCAATAAATGGTAGTTGCTTTTATTAGTATTAACTATCATGAATTTGTTCAATAAATTTATTGAGTGACTGTTATGAAGTCCGTGCTGTTCTACACTGGGTGGGTGGGGAGGGGGTGGGACTGGAGTGCAGAGATGAACAGAATGGAAAAGGTGCCCGTGATCCAGAGGACCGAACACGAAACTGTACTCCAGTGTGTTGGGTGCCAGGCAAGGGAGCAGTACCGGGGACTCAAGGAACAAGGCGGAGACGTTGAGCCAGACTGGGGCATTCAGGGAGGCTTCCTGGAGTAAGCGGCAAGCCCGACTCTGAAGTCCGGAGCGAGCGGGTGACGGGTGGAAGAAGAGTGCTCCAGGTCGAGAGAACGGCGTGTGCAGAGCCAGGAGGTCCGAAACTTGCCATCCAGCTGGATGTCCGGCTGAAACTTAGATGCTATCCACAGCTTTGGGACATAATGATCAAAGGGACCGCGTGCCCCATTTCTTCCACTCCCCACCTCGCCTGGCAGTCAGAAGTCACAGGTGCCTTCTCCAGACCAAAGAAGATAGCAGTTTTCCACGCTGGAGGTGTGAACCCAAGAAGAGGTGGCAAAGTCAATTTAGTGGGTCATGACCTGCATTTTTTTCAGTGAAAGAATAGAAAACACCACAGTGTTTCATAGATGATACGATCAAACATTGTTTCCTGAAATATGTGCTCAGGTGAAGATAGAGATGTGCGTATGTACTGTGGGGGGGTATACAAATGTCTGTTGATGTGTGTGATGAGGTCATGTGTCTTTCTTACTGCTGATCATGGTCGAAAGGTTTGAAAATCACAGGTCTAAAGTGACTTGACCTGGTGTCTTCCCGGAAGCCCCTGCCTTTCCCACCTGCTCAGGCCCTCGGTCTCCTCCGTGCTTGTCTCTTTGGCTGGAGGTTTGGCTCCCCAGTCTCCTGGTGGAAAGAGGAAGGTGGTCCAGGCAAGGGGCTCCGGCCTCCTAGACCCTGCGGTAAGCCTCTTGGCGCCCCTCCCCTGCCTACAGCCCTCATTCCTGCCCTGACCATATACAGCCTCGCTAAAAACAGCCGCTGGCTTGAAACCCCAAAGCAAGCCCACTGCGGAGCCCTTCAGTGGTCACAACGTCCTGCGTGGCTGCCAGGCCGTTCCCACCCCAGAGACCCACAGACCTCAGGACGAGAAGGGCCTTAGTGACCTTTGCTTTCTGAGGTTCTTGACCTGGGGCCCGAGCCTTGGCCTCGGAGGCCTGTGACTGCCCTGACACGGAGGCACCATGTGTGCATCTGTGCTTAGTGCCCACCTGCGCTCCCCCACCATCAATCTAATTCAGTGATGCCCTCCGCAAAATGCTCAGTGGGAAACCAGGCCCAAGATTGACTTTTTTTTTTTTTTACAAAATAAAGCTAATAATAACAATAGCTAACATTTGGGGAATGCGTACGACCTGCCCGGTGCTGTTCTTGGTGTGGGGGGCACGTGTTATTTAACCTTCCACAGCAACCTTATGGGGGGCGGGCTGCTAGTACTCCTGTTTGTTTAATTTTTTTTTTTACAAGGACACATTAAAAGAATCAGTTTAATTTACCAAGAAGAGGCTAAGGACTGAGTTAATCTTCCATATCAGACGAAAGGTTTTAATTTTTAATTTATTTTATTTTATTTTTAGATAACACCGTTTGTTGAAAAGAAAAACCTGTACTTTCCCTTGTTCTTGTAGTACATTTTTTTTTAATTTCCCTCCTGCCTTTTGGCAACCATCAGCTTATTCTCTGTATCTGTGGGCCTGTTTCTGTCTTGTTTTGTTTATTCCTTTTTTTTAATATATTCCACATATAAGTGAGATCATGCAGTATTTGTCTTTCTCTTATTTCACTTAACACAATGCTCTCAAGATCCATCTGTGTTGTCGAAGTGGCAAGACAGCATTCATTTCTGTGGCGGAAGAATACCCCATCGCGTGTACACACCGCATCCTC